ATTATTTATATGTTAATTGAACTATTATTTTTTTTTTAGCAGGGTAGCTCTTTGATAGTGACATGACTTCTACCCACAAGTTTAAAAACTTCCTGGAACAGAAATTGGGTTTTTATAAAAAACAAAGCATTTCCATGTCAAAAGTACACGTATACCAACAAGTTTTACAAAATTTCATTTGTTTTTGTTATGTGAACATAAAGTTTTATATGAACTTTTCGCAAATAATTCTGGAAAATCTTGCTGAAGTGACAGTCGTAACCAGAAACATTATAAATCCGCATCCGTTCCGGTTACACCGTTACCCAACTGTTACGTGAACATAGTTGGGTTGTTGATATTTTTATAGCAGAAAACGGAATTGGGTCACACCTGACGACAGTTTGGTTCCGGTATTTTAAAATTAGAATGTATTCCATAAAATCGGCACAATTTATATAATACAAGCATTTTGGAATATACTATATTTCACAAAATGATGATAATTTATAAAAGACAAGTACTTTTCTGTCGCTAGTTTGATGCGAAAATATATTTTCCTTTTTTAACTTTTACATATGTATTTATATACATACATACATATAAGAATTGTCAAATGTATGTAGCTGCATTCGAAAGAGTTAATTTTCGCTCTAGTATTATATTGCACCTTATTACGCACTGTTTTTGATTTATCTTCACAAAGCAAAAAAAATCGGGTCACTAAACACCTTTAACAATATATGCATACATATGTGTATGTCCAGTTATATATTCGTGTTATGCGTATATTTATGCATAACTCGGGCGGCTCTAAGGTGGTGTCTAATAAGCAAGCAAGCCAACTAACCAACCAAGCAAAACCGCATTTGTAATTTAAGAACCTACTCTAGTGGTGAATTATTACAGTAAGTGCCGTTACTGTAGGAATGTGTAAATGAGAATATCTACACCAACATGCATACATAAGAACTTGAAACTTTGGTGCAACCCAATAAGAATATTCAATACCTCACGACCAGTGCTCATACCACCCATATTCTTTTCGCTAAATCTTCAGACCCGTCAGTGAGGAAATACTTAAGTTCAATGTATGGTCAAATTAAAAGACATAGCACCTGCTATTTTTTTTTTTTCTAGACCAAATATATTTTATATTATAGTTAAAATAACTAGGAAATGGTGTGATGCCGGGTTTACCACGTACTTAATTCCAAGATCCTCAATGAATCAAACACCAGTGAAATCTTCCATAAGCGGATAATGCCAGGACAAGCTTTTCTGTCTTATTAACACAGTTGTACGATTAATAGAATGTTCTCAATAAACATCAAAAATTGTTGAGACTGGCCAATGTGCACAGTTAATTGAGATGTCCGCTTGATAGAGTGTCACTGTAATGTAGGGTTAATATCTTTAAAATTAACAAAAGACTAACTATATTAATTTATTTCTAGTGCAGTTTTTCTTTCTAAGGTAAACCACAATGAAGTAGATCAACGAAGATGCAAATTCGTGGTATAAATCTGCAAACACTTGCGCAAAAAGGAAATTGTCTTATATGAGCATTTTTTTGTACAGAAGTAGTACTATCGAGTCTGTTATAGTAGTCATATTTTTATTAATAATAGACTGCTTGGCTGCTGTCAACGCCGGTGGCTCACTTGAATGTCCACTAACGTTACCAACTAACTACCAACGTCATTGTATTAGTTTGGAGTCTCAGTGTCTCACAATATTTGCTCTACTTTTTTACTGTTACGTTCCAATGCCTCATTGTGGCGGGCCACAAACGTTTTTTTTATGAATGTAAATTTATTTTCTTACTTTCTTTCTCCAAAGAACTTTGCTGACACTTTGATTTACAAAAAATAATTGTGAAAGAGTGTGCGGTGAGGTAATTGAGGATCTATACTACATTCGTGGACGCATATTGGAATGCTATTTGGAGCGAAAAACCATATTAATTTATCGATTAAATTGCCACTCTGCAATAGTTAATTTATTTTTATTTTTGTGTTTAAACGTATTTGTTAGCATTATTTGTTTAGCATTACTTCTAATTATATATTATACCCTTTTATATATTATTACCCTTTTTTAGATACGATACAAAATTTACCTTAGAACGCTCTGAAGTATTTTAATTTATTTATTTCAAAAAGATAAAGTATAAAATTAATTAGCCCCTTACCTTTTGTCATCAAGTAATGCCTTCGCCAATGATAATCGTAAACGCACCACTTTCATGCTCTGCATGGGAAAAAGTTTACATGTGGGTGAGAGAAATTTAGGACGCCAACAATAGTGAGGAAACTCTTTGCACACACTCCATAAACGTTCATTATGTTCAAACAGATATGAGTGTTCTTTACCGTATTCAAGATACTACTGCATATCTGTGTAGTTACAATGAAGTAAATGCCGTAACATATGTAACGCTTCGCTGCCCTCCGAGGGATCGCGTACTTGATTAATACCAAATGATAATAGCGGTTCATAATGATAAAAATTGCCAGGCATGGCATTCAATATGTCTCCCAAGAATGTTGAGCCCGAACGCCAAGTTGTGATGATAACACTACGTACGGGTGTACCATTTGTTTCAGGCGTCATGTCAGATAGTTTTTCCGCGTCGACACCAAAACGTCCTTGTGGATATTCGAAATTTTCCATTTCGGTTAGAATCTTCGAGCGTTGCGCCGCCAGGACATCCGCTATTGTAGCAGTCATATTATATGCTACGCTCGCAGTGCCCACATGATGCCGATCGACATAACCGGTCTGTACGCCTGATATGTCACCAACGCCAACGGACATGCCGTTAGATATGGTCATAGAGGCAGGTCGATGTTGGGTTGTCGCTATCAGCAATAATATGCACAGACTGCTAACGCCACAAATACCTATCAGATTAGCGCGACGTGACATTTTTCGTCGTTTTGTTGTTAGGCTGATGCGTTGCTGAGCGCGTGTCCTGCTGACGCTTTCCACAGATGCTCCAGTAAGCAATGAAATAGTTGTTGAATCTGTTTTGGACATTCGACTTCCAAAGGCACAAAGCTTGACGCGTAATCTTAGTAATGCATTCACACAAAACTTAAAATACTGTACACCGTTATTTAACACAAACACTTTTTACTATTACAAAATTCACCTTTTTAAAGCAAATTAATAATTATTTTTTTCATACATATATGTAATCAATGGATATGCAAAGTATTCATGCATATTTCCTGTTCAAACATTAACATACATTTTTCAGGTGCTTAATAACTTTTACACACACTTATTAATGTAAATACAACAACACTTCGCATAATGATACTTGATAAATTAATGCATTTACACATTAAACAAAAATCATATCCCCGTTTTCACTTGATCCGTAGATGTAGCGGCATCCTTATAATTTAATTTCAAAACATTATTCCAGTAGCACACATACTCTATATATGTAAACCCAAGGAAATTACAACACTTTTCTAATTTATCGTCCTACATTAAACTCCGTGATATTAAACTATTCGACTCAAGAGCAAACCAATAACAAGAAGAACTCCATTCGGCTTCTTCATTATGTTAGCTTTTTACATTTTCTTTTCCCCTTATTTATATCCCAGACAGCTGTCAAATGTAAACAGAGTAAAAGGCTACCAGATGTTAAATATATTAAATTTGATCCCAACAATAATGCAATACGATGCTCAAAATTAAGGAGCTTTAGTAATAAATTTAATTATTTTATATAGTGCATAGTTTCTTTAAGAATATTTTATGATTTCCATAGAAAGTAAATTTATAATTTTTTTTAACTGATTTTTATATGGTTTTAAAAATTTAAAAGATGTGGTAGGTCTCATATATTCACTAGAGCACAGTGTTGCATTAATCTGATTAGGAATTTACATTTTTATTTCGTAAAAGAACATTTATAAAATTTGATATTAAAATAAAAACAAATATAATAATAATGTAATAAATAAACGACGAAAACAGTGCATGTTATGTGAAGTTGTATGCAGCGAAAACCGCAATAAATTAAAGGTTCTCGAACCATAACCACTATTGTTAAAATAAATTAATTTTGAATTCAATATAATTGAATTCTAACTTCATATATTATTAAAAAAGTAATGGGTTAAATAATAAAAAAATGTTTACCTTTTATCATTTAACATTTGTCCAATATCTTTCAACAGCATCTTATACACAACCATTGTTAAAAACGGATACATTTTGCACACTTCTGCCAGGAAATTTTTGTTCCAGCAATGCAAGGGATATTGTCTGCACAGCTTCCGCTGATGCCCGTAAAGCGAATAGAACGTAAAATGTTTTTTAGCCATCTTCAAAAGCAAATCAGTGTTATTGTAATCACATAAAAATAATTGCTTTAAGGATTTCAATGCGTCTGATATTTCTGATGTTGAACGTATAATTTGATATTTTGAATTATATAATGGTGAGAAATGTTGATAGTATCCCGGAGCACGATGGAAATATTTAACAAGACGGCTGGAACCCGATAACCACTTTGTGATAACCACATTGCGGATTGGATCTTTGCTGCCAACTAAAATTGACTGATTGAATGAACGTAAGGAATTAATTTCTTTTTTCACAGTTTGCCTCTGTTTAAACAACGCTTCCCTCATATTTGGTTTCTTGGGAAAAATGGTAAAAATTGCCAGAAACCAAATACAAATACCACAAWAAATAAATAATTGTATTTTCCACATGGTGATGAAGAATATGTTCTATAATATACTAATCTTGCGTAATAAAACTCAACGCTTCGATTAGCTCAACTTAATGTATATATGTAGCTGTTTTGATAACTAATATTTTGAGTTGAAATATAATTTGACAAGAATTTCAATGCTTAAAAAAATATTTTCATCAATAAAGATTCCAATTTCGGTAGCAAGCATTTTTTACATTCCACAGCAGAAAAAATGTTTTGAAGTTTGTGAAACTTTAAAGAAATTAATAATTTATTGTTTTGCTAAAACAATAAACACTTTAGTTTTCCGTACTTATTTATAAAGTGAAGCAGTATGTAATAAAAGTTAAAAGCAACCATGTATGCTCTTCAAAATGTCTTTTAAATTTCAAATGTCACACAATTCTGCCTCACACCTTTCAAGTAGTAAATACCCCAACCACACATATTCGCCATGCGTACAATTCGCTTTTATTCAGTTATTCCTCGGAGAGGTGTTTCGCGGGCTCAATTGACTCTCATTTGAGGGCGAATATCTGTTACAGTTGCGGCGAACAACAACACCAAAATGTCACAAAATGTGTTATTCCAATCGAAAACATCGAATTTTGTTCATTTTCTTCGGGAAAAAATCAAGAAGAAAACAAAACGACCACAATACAATAGAAGGCAGCACGGCGAAAATCACATTTAACTTGCGACATATGAATTATTGCACAAGTAGTCAATTATTCGCCGTCGAATGTGGATATTCTCAAGTTGCAGTGCTATTAAAGTGCGCCGGGCCATTAATTCATTTGTTTTTTTTTTTTGTGTAAAACAATTACAATTCCCTTCAACCAGTAGATCACGTAGACATATTTATTGTTTAATTACGCGAGCGTTGCTGTGAAATACCAAATTTGAGTAATTTTGCGCGCTGTAAACTTTGATATAGAAAGAAGTGTAGGGGCGACAAACAGGCAGCCTCATGTGAAAAAGAGGAATATTCGCAGTGAAAAAATGAGTTCTGTGATTGTATTGGATTCCTCGGACGAAGATGAGGTAAAATGGCAATTGAGTGTAAATAAAAAAGAGGGCGATAAAAGTAGTACGAGTATTATACTGACAAACTGTGAAACTATGAATACATTTTTAATTTGTATTCGGTAAGGCCAATTATTTGACGAGTTGTCTGTCGGTTTGTGTTGGATCTATGCTACCGATGGCACATTTTTCTGTGTGTGTTTTGAGTTGGCGCTATAATTGTATGGCTAATAAGCGCAACTACAGTCAATAGTAGTCGACGTCGTTGACGTGCATTGTGCTCAGTATAATTCGCCTGCAGAAATAATGGTCAGCAGAGCATACTACATGTGTTTATTAAATAGAGATATGTTTATGTGTGCGCAAGGTTTATACTTGCTCAACTCAAAGGTATATTAAACTCTACAAGGTGTAGTAGCGAAGTTCATATTGGAGACTTCAGTTTCCCCGATTTCATGCGAATACCAACAATCGGAACGAAGATGATGAATAGTTGAGCGAACGAAGAACATTACTGAAATAGGCGAACCAGTCAAATACACATATACATACACAGATCGCCAATACGCGCCAGCAAATAGTTAAATTTCTTGAAAGTGGTGTTAGATTAATGGGAGTAGTCGTTGTCTTTCGCGGTTCTATAGTGGTAATGATATGCCAGGGTTGCACATGACTTTGTGAATTGTGTGTTTAGTTGTGAGGTTCACGTAAACGCGGCGAATTCAGTGAAAGATGACAAACAGTTGACAAATGTTTGTTTACATATTTGTGGTTGTTTATTATTTTCAACTTGCACATTCGCAAAAATCTATGAGAACTAAAGTTTTAAAATTATATCCACTTTTTATTTCGATATTAAACTACATACATACAAATACTAAAACGTCTTGTAATGCATCAAATTGTGCAGTTATCTTCCAACAATATTGCAAATTTGAAGTGCAATACAAGTAGAATGCATATTTTATTGTTTTTATTTTTATATTTATTAAGAACGAAATGTCAGCTTTCTTCTGGTGTCTGCTGTTAACGTTTATTATTTTAAACTCGATGGCATGTGTGTATAATTAATTATAACTCATAATAACTTTTTTATTCATATAAAAACTAAAACAAATTAATGCGCAATTCATACCTGCAATCACCTGTACAACAATCGAAGTTACGTACAGCAGTGCTGAAAATTTATTTTTTATAACGTGTACACGTTTTTCTGTTGTGAAGCACATGATGGTATGTTTACATTCGTTCTGCTACTGCATTAACTTTGGCGTCTCTATTTTATCAATCAACACCGACTGCGCAGTCGGTAGGTAGTGTTTACGCTACCGATGCGATGTTTTGTTTTCCTCCACGACAAGTCTCCACTTTAAATTTTCCCGCCTTTTATTTTTGATGTTTTTGGTTGTAAGTGGGCGAATAAGCAAAGGACGTACTTTGAGACAACGGTGTGGTGTAAATCACATATGTAAATATGCGATCATATGTACATCTTCTTCTTCTTGATTGGCGTAGWCACCGCTTACGCGATTATAGCCGAGTTAACAACAGCGCGCCAGTCGTTTTTTCTTTGCGCTACGTGGTGCCAATTAGATATTCCAAGTGAAGCCAGGTCCTTCTCCACTTGGTCCTTCCAACGGAGTGAAGGTCTTCCTCTTCCTCTGCTTCCCCCGGCGGGTACTGCGTCGAATACTTTCAGAGCTGGAGCGTTTTCGTCCATCCGGACAACATGACCTAG